CTTTGATGGTACGGGCAAGGTAATAAAAACCTAGCGAATAATAAGTGCATTTACAATTTGTTTGTATTATGAAAAATCTATTGAGTAAGTATTCTTGAGTTTCACTTTAAAGTTAAACTATGAGGTCGGGTCACACAGGATATGACAGCAGGGCGTTTCCTGTGTTAGTCAACTCAAATATACAATGGGTGGAAAAAAGAGATTGGGAAGACATAACATATTTAGAATGCTTTACAATGACCACCTCTAGAGGGCGCCCACTACTCAGGAATATGATCAATCCAGCACAGGGCGTTTCCTGTGTTAATCAACTGAAATAAACAAAGGGGGGAAACAGTTTGAGAGGCATTTCATAATTTGAATGTTTTACAATAATCACCTCTAGAGGGCGCCCACTACTCAGGAATATGATCAATCCAGCACAGCGCGTTTCCTGTGTTAATCAACTGAAATAAACAAAGGGGGGAAACAGTTCGAGAGGCATTTCATAATTTGAATGTTTTATAATAATCACCTCTAGAGGGCGCCCACTACTCAGGAATATGATCAATCCAGCACAGCGCGTTTCCTGTGTTAGTCAACTGAAATAAACAAAGGGGGGAAACAGTTCGAGAGGCATTTCATAATTTGAATGTTTTACAATAATCACCTCTAGAGGGCGCCCACTACTCAGGAATATGATCAATCCAGCACAGGGCGTTTCCTGTGTTAATCAACTCAAATATACAATGGGTGGAAAAAAGAGATTGGGAAGACATAACATATTTAGAATGCTTTACAATAATCACCTCTAGAGGGCGCCCACTACTCAGGAATATGATCAATCCAGCACAGCGCGTTTCCTGTGTTAGTCAACTGAAATAAACAAAGGGGGGAAACAGTTCGAGAGGCATTTCATAATTTGAATGTTTTACAATAATCACCTCTAGAGGGCGCCCACTACTCAGGAATATGATCAATCCAGCACAGGGCGTTTCCTGTGTTAATCAACTGAAATAAACAAAGGGGGGAAACAGTTCGAGAGGTATTTCATAATTTGAATGTTTTACAATAATCACCTCTAGAGGGCGCCCATCACTCAGGATTATGATCAATCCAGTACAGGGTATTTCCTGGGGTGTGTATATATATATATATATATATATATATATATACAATATGGCAATTACTATCTAGTTTGCCTAATAGATAGATCCATATATTCAATCAAGATAATATTGTATATTGATATAATACATAATCACAAATGAGTATGGTTAGTGATTCTAAAAATATTTACCACTACCATGCCTATACTAAGAGGTTATCAAGTGAGTACATGTACCACAAAATATGGAAGAAGGCAGTGAAGTGATTTTACTAACTGACACGTAGCAGAGGTCTACCTAACCCTGTGCATACTTTGCCATATTATTGTGATAACCTTATTATTATTCATTATTAAAGGGCGGTAGTCGTCGCGCTGCGCATGGGTAACATTTGTGTTGATAAACATTGATTTTCCCACAATCCAATGCGCTCTTCTAATATAAATCACAAGTACGCGGTTTGACCTGGGCGCGACTTGCACTAATTACCGCCGGTGACTCATTCGATATCTTCCTATCACCTGAAAATTCCTAATTAATTCTTTTGTAACGTCTCAGTTTGATCTACGCAACAGTTAAAGTTGCCATCTTTGTTTTGCGCATACGTGTTGCGACTACCACCCTTTAATATATGTTAATCTTTTTCTTGCTTTTAGAAACAATTTAATGAGATTAAAGACTAAAATGACAATATAAAACTTTTTGTGCTGTGCGATCATTTGCGCTCAGTGACATAATTCCATTTTCATTCACATGCACTATAGCTGCTGCATCCAATGAACGCATCAATATTGACGTTGTAGTTCACCCCATATAAGGGGAAATGTGAACATTCAAATGAGTGCTTATTATTAGACTGATTCTGTAGGAATTCTGAGTCAGCATGTTGACTGATGAATAGGTTTGTCTTCATAAAAAATAATTGTATATTACTGTATAGGTGACTTGTGGCACTAACAAAAATAATGTTGTGGCCCCTGACTCCCTTTGTTTTTATACTTATTTTGCTTATAAAATGTGAATTTCAGTTTACCCAATTACTATAGCAACATGTTTTTCATGATCATTATCTCAATGCTCATTTTTCTGTTGCTTTAATGACGTCGAAGAGAGTTTATTATTCACAATCAAACGTTAGAATACAAATGCCAAATGTGCAAAACTATAGAATTTTTACAGTGTTTTTGTCTTGCCAAATTATATAAAATGATGGCCGAAACTGAATATTTCTGACTGAATATTCACTAGCAGTTGAAAAAAGCAACATGCTGCTTGTTAGAGTTTTGAGATGGGTGCTATCATGTTATTAATCAGATCAATGTTTGAATGACGCATGTGGAGCTCCGTGAAAAGGTGATATTTAACATACTGAATTGTGTCACAGAAATATTTTTGCATCAATATGGCATATGTTGGCTTAGAGGGCACATTAATGCTGATACACTTTGGAATGGTTTTACAAAACTGCAAATTCTAGTGTGTCCGATTGCTAAATGTACAGTGACCCATCTCTGAGTCACACCTCAGTAAGACGCGATGTTGATTAAGTCGTGGGTAGTTTGGTGGCTCCCAAAAATCCTATTGTATTTTGCTATCAGGTTTGAAGTAAAAGAACAAATGTTTTGTCGGAATAGTGTATTTAATTGGCTGTTAAAGGGCTGAAGGAGACAACTTAACACCGACTGGTCGTCAGTTACTGAGATACAAAGGGTAATAGTGTTGGTGGGGGTATGAAGTCAGGATATTCCGTACTTCTCGGGTGGTCCCCTTTCATAAAGCTCCATAAAACTCGCTGCAATGAGTTGAATCCATGCAGACATGTGATGTTGTTCAATAAGAAAAACCTACTATAAATAATTCCATGTGAATATATGTGCTTTCTATCTATTTTCAATGCATAACCCCCTTTCACGAGACCCCTCGGTAAGTCGCAACACTCGATAAGTCACGGTTTTTGACATCTGCGATTCAGCTAGGGACCAAGTATAATAATTACCATATTCATACTGTTACCTGCACTGTATTCAATTCTATCATACTTTACTCATTCTAATAATAATAATTACCATATTCATACTGTTACCTGTACTGTATTCAATTCTATCATACTTTACTCATTCTAATAATAATAATTATCTTTATATTGCGTTTGTATCCCTAATAGGATTTTGACTAAAATGCAATACAGATGTGAATAAAGACAAACAAACAACAAAATTCTATATATTACATGTGAGTCACCCATTCAACGTATACCCATGACACATTGTTCCATCTCAAACCCAACTTACCCAGTCACTTCCATGTCTGAGATGAATTCCAACAAACAGGCCATCTCCTAACTCATTTCTGATGAATTCTTCTGCTTGATCATCAATGAATTTAGACCACAGGAGGTACTTGTGTAAGGGAACATGTTCTTTGTTGACAGGAAAGGCAGCTGGTGCTCCACTAAATGCAATTACTGGATAATTGGATGCTGGAAATCTGCAGAAAGTTGTGCATTAATTATTTAACAGGTTTTAGAAATGTACTGACCATGTACTCATGCACCGTGTACTTGTTGCTCTATTAC